TTTAGCCAATAAAGTCATGGTGTTAAAAATTCCAGTTTATTTGTTTTTTTTTCCTTCCATATTTTCAGATAAGCATTGCACTCTCTTTTTTTGTTGTCTGTTTTCAAAATTCAGATAGTAAAATTGTACTCATTTTTATTATTGTTTATTTACGTGTACATATGTGTATGTCTGTATATGTACATGTGCCTGAGGTTGGGGCATCCCCTGGGGCTGGAATTACAAGCTGCCTGATGTGGGTGCTGGGAATTGAACTCAGGTGTTCTGCAAGAACAATTCATGTTCTTTACCACTGAGCCGTCTCTCCAGCCCCAGATAGTAGCATTTTAAATAGGTTGGCTAATATGCCACAGAGGTGTTAAAACCTTGTATTAACTCTTTCTCTGGGTGAAGGATTCAATAATTTTCCATGGTGGCAGAAGGAAGAGGGATGTGAATTCGAAGGATGCATGAGAAAGACAACTTTCTTTTAAAAACTTCTTCAAGTTGGGAAGAAGGAAGGACTTAGAAGGTGGCGTTCTAAGAAATCGCGCCATTCCAAGGTTGATTTCCTTCATGTTAAAAGAATCCAGGAGGACATCTCAATGACATCATCAATCTCTTTGAAGTGTACAACTCAGTGATTAAGTACACTCAAAATGCCACATGGTTGTCGCCTCTACTTAGTCCTATGGCCCTTTCATTACATGAAACCTGGATCCACTAGTCAGCTACTCCTTATTCCTCTTGTCCCCAAACCATTAATCTGCTGTCATTATGGACATGTCTCTTTCGGATATTTCCTATAAATGGACTAATATAATACATGAAGCTCTGCAACTCCTTTCACTTGCCATCATTTTAAGATGTGTCTACCTTTCGTCATATACCAGTGCCTCATGCCTTTTAATGGCTGCATAATATTTCATTCTATTGATGTGCCACATTTTATTTGCCTTTAAAATTTATTCATGGACATTTTTCCCACTTTCAACTATGGGGAAATGCTGTTACAAACATTCATATAAATCTCCCGTTTTTTTTCATCTAAAGTTGAAGGGGAAGTTGTGGATTGTATGGTGCTTTCATGTTTAACTTCCAGAGAAAGAGCCAATCTGTTTTCTTCATCAGATATTTCATATTCCTGCTAACAGTAGACAAGAATTCCAACTTCTTTACATTTCTCAGTCATAAAAGATTCTAGTAGGCACACCATTGTAGTTTTCACTTGCTTTTCTATAATAGCCAGTAATGTCAGGCCTGACAATTTATATATCTTCTCTGGAAAAATGTTCAGCTTAGTTCTTTGTGTCTGTCTGTCTATCCATCCATCCATCCATCCATCCATCCATCCATCCATCCATCCATCCATCAATCCATCCACCTACCTACCTCCCAACCTACCCACCTATCATCCGTTTTTTAGACAGCAACTTACTCTATAGCCCAGGCTAGCCTCAAGCGCACAATCCTCCTGCCTCAGCCTCCTGAGTACTGCAATTATAGGCTTGTGCCACCATGCCTGGCTTTGCCTGTTTGTTTGATTTTTTTCTAGTTGAGTGTTTCTTCTTTTTGCTGTTGAGATACTAAACCCTTATCAGATGTATGATTTACTGCAGCACATATATTTAAGAGACTGCTATTTCCCCACTTAGCTCTTTGCTTTCTTTTCAAAAATAAATTAAGCTCACATACATAGATCCATCTATCATCTCTGAATTCTTTACTTCAGTTGTTTTTTATGAGCAGAAGATAAAAGGGAGTCTGTTGATGGTTCTGATAGGGCCGTGCGCGCTTTCCAAAGGCCTGTGTGCATTTCTTTTTGTTTGATCTTTGTTAGATCAATACTTCAATACTCACCCCGGGTAGATATTAAGTACTATAACCATTTAACAGACGAGAAAACAGATCAAGCAGGCTCAAGTGGTTTGCTAGGACTAAGTAGCAAAACATGGACTGGAGCCCAGATTGACTCTTTCTTGCTCCTTCTACTCTATCCCTTCTGCCCCAAACTAACATTTGTCCAGACCTTTCTGCTTCTTCAAGTTTTATAGCAAACAGTACCTGCTATTTGCTTGGGAGCTTCCTTAATAGTAAGGGTGGCAAGCAAGGGAAATACTGAATGTTATTAAACCGTAAGCCTGGAAACTCTGTCAAAGACCCACAGGGGAAATGAAAAGACGAAAGCAAAGATCATGGCAAAATATAGTTGGTTCATGGAATAAGAGAAGTCTAGTAGGGGTAGAACATGAGGCTACCAAGAAGATGATGTCATCAAAATGAGAACATGATGTAGAAAGTCCTAGAACACAAATGTGTGAGCCAAAACTAAATCCTTGGCCTAGGTCCAAATGTAATTGGTGACTGGCATGCCCGCTCCCTTCTTACAGTGCCCAGGGGTGCTGGCTGATGGAAGAATAGGAGCCAAGTGCTCTGAGCTGGCAGCACTTAAATACAATGGGATAGGAGCCACTATTTGCAGAGTTGTTGCAGAGTCCTGAAATGAAAAAAAAGGATGTCTTCACACCCTAACCATAACTGCTTGAGAGTAATCCTAAGGAAATGTTCAATGCAATGTTTGTTGATCACAGATAAGAGGATTTAAGATGAATCTTTCAAAGGAGAACATGTCTATACCCTTTGCTCCTAATTGGTGTCTCTGATTTAGAATAAGTTAGAGAAGAATAATGGTGTCATTCTTTCCAAAGTCCATGACCATTGTCTCAGTAGAACTCAGTTTTGTCAGGGAAGATTGCTGTCACCATTTCCTGTGCCTCCTAGTAACTTTGACAAGCTCAGAAAGTTGCTGATCCATAATGAGGAGTGTGGAATCTTACAATTTGAGATACACACACACACACACACACACACACACACACACACACACACACACACACACACACATTCCTATGTGTACACATGAATACTGACAAGCATGTTTCAAAACCCTATTATCTATTTGAAATATAGCTAGATCATTCTTTGGCCATCTATGTTGCTTCAACCCTGCCTGTCTATTTCTCCTTTGCTGCCCTGCCCATTTTCTCTATCCTCTCTAGCCTGGACTCTTAAGCATCTTTCCGGCACTCACTCAGTCCTCCTTTTATGCCCTGTGCTTCTTTCTCCGTAATAGTTCACTTTCTTACAGAGACAATTCTGGACCCCTGGCCTATTGAACACACGAAACCTTTTACAGATATAGCTACATTGTTGGATTGCATTCCTATGGTTAGGCTTGATTTATTTGGATAAATGGTTTTGTAACAGTTGGCAGGGTTGGTTTCCAGTGGACAGGAGACCAAAGAAGCATACTTTTGGTTACTTCCTCAGTGTGTGTGGGGGGAATGTCTTCTTAGAATTTTGGTGGCAAAAGAAGGACACTTCTCAGAGATTTCCTCTGTAAAGTAAGCCAAGAGCTCAGGCCTCTGCCACAGAAGAGGCATCCGTGAGGTGGATTGTAATGACTGCAGCTTGCAGCTCTTCACACCCCCAGTGGTCTGAACTGTAACCCACCCCAAACAACAGAACTGTGCTGAAACGTTCTGTTGACTTTCCCTGTCAACACCTTGACATGCTAGCTCGTGCTGCTGCCAAAACCTACCCGCATGTTTTCACTACTCCAGAGGAAGTTCCTGTTTGATGTTAACATGGTGTCGATACATACTGGAAGGGAAAACATCCATCTTTCAGACAAATAGAAGAGGGATCTATGACATGGGGAATGGAAGAGAAACATTTTCCCTGTGCTTTGATCCATGTGGTACAAAGCCCGGTTCTACTTGGGAACTAATAAGCTGGTCTCAAACCTGGATGACAGTGGCTTTAACTCTGAAAAGGCTACACCTGTCAGCAGGTTATAGCAGAGACAGAAGTCACTCATACACTGCTTGATTTGCAAAAGTAATGAAAGTCACAAAAATTATTTCAATATTTCTGTGGACTTGGAGTTTTCAAGTTAAAAAGTTGTGGGGTCTGGGGAGTAGACGAATGGATCCAAGGTTAAGGGCACTTTCTGCTCTTGCAGAAGACCCAAGTTCAGTTTTACTACCTACATGGTGATTCACAACCATCTGTAAATCCAGCTCCAGGGGAATCGAATGGCATCTTCTGCTCTCCACAGAAACTGTCCTCACATGTTCACACACATACACACATAATTAAATATAAATATTTTTAAAGGTAGAGAGAGTTGGAGAGATTGCTCAGTAGCTAAGAGCACTTGTTGCTCTTAAAGAGAACCAGGGTTGGGTTCCCAGCACCAACATGGTAGCTCACAACCATCTGAAACTCTAGTTCTAGGGATTCTGACACCCTCTTCCGACCTCTGTGGGCACTAGGCATGCCTGTGATGCACATACATACATGCAGACAAAATACTAATACACATAAAGTAAAATGCATAAATCTAAAACAAAATTAAAGCTTAAGGAAAATGACCCAATATGGATTAATGGCATATATAATTGAAAGTTAAGAGTTTCTATTTCCTCCTAATATTACTTCCCTCTGCACAGATAGCCTTAAATAACAGCTTTCTGCGAATCCTTCCAGATCAGTTTCTTTGCATTTATACACATAAATATGAAACCGAGGCTTTAAAACACAGAGTACACTACATTAAATTATCACTGTAGCCTTTCTTTTCACACTACTGGGGATTGACTTGTAGACAAATGCTCTACCACTGAGCTATATCTCTAGCTCCAGAGTCCTTAAAAAATAACATTAGGGGCTGGAGAGATGGCACAGTGCTTAAGAGGACTTGTTGCTCTTCCAGAGGACCTAGAATTCCCAGCACCCTCATGGTGGCTCACAATCATCTGTAACTCCAGTTCCAAGGAATCTGACACCCTCTTCCAGCCACCTTGGGTACCGGGCACACATGTGGGTGCATGGACATACATATAGGCAAAACATCCATACATACAAAACAAATAACAGTATACTCTGGACAGCTTTCTCTGTCACTAAATATAGGTCTGTGTTTATCAATTGGGTGATATGCTATAGTATGTCTGTGCTGTGGCTTACTTAACCATTAACCCAATAATGATGGTGTGTAATATATTGTTTCTAATTTGTTTTTCTGCAGAACCCTACACATCCGACACTGAATTGCTCTGTGGAAAATGCCCATCCGACTGTTTCTTACTATGCTCGTCCCCAAGTGGCATCCTACAATACCTACTACAATAGCCCTCCTCATCTGCCACCTTATTCTGCTTATGACTTTCAGGTATGTTTGGAGAGAAAACATTTGTTCTGATTGCGATAAGTCAATCCTTGTTACTGTCCCTAACTTATTTGTGGTACCTTCCCATTGCTTTTGGAACTGATAGGAACTAGCCCAGGCGCTCTACCCTGATGAACTTTATCAGCTTGTAGGAACCTGTGATTAAAGACCTGCAGAGAGGCAATGATGGAAGGCACAGGAAAGTGGGGGTAGCATGAGAGAAGAAATAGAATGGGAGGAAAACAGAGGAAAAGGGTAGGAGTGAGATATCCCAGATTGTATTAAATACTTTAAGAGAAGATCATTTGGCTGCGAAATGTAGCTTGAATAACTTACCATGGACCTCTGTGTAACAGTGGCTTTTGCCATGGGGAGAACCATAGCGCTCATGCTTGACCCAAGCGTGTTCTGAGCCACGCAGAGGTATGAATCAGACTTCCAATGAAGAAGTCGCTTTGTTTTTTTCAAACATGCTAACTAGAACTACGTAGAGAAAATATTTTTTACAACACTTTCTCCCCATTTTTTCCTTATTACATAGATCAGTAATAGTGTTACCAAATTTACATTTTCAACATTTTCTTTTGAGATGTGACTAACTGCAGAGAAATGGAAGCACAAAAAGGGCAAAAGAGAGTCACAGTGTGCAGTGAGGAGGCATTTTGGAAAAACACATCAAATGGGTCTTACATATGAACCGTGATTGACTTAGTGGCTTCCCTTCACCATGACAGAACCCACAAATTCATAACCAACTTTTAAACAGGAGACGTTTATTTTCACTCACAGTTTTTGAGGCTTCAGTCTGTGATGAACTGGACACATTGTGTAGGCTTGTAAATGTTACATCACCTCCTCAGAGTGCTAGGAACAAAACCTTCAACACTTGGACCTTTAGGGAATACTTCTAAACCATATAAGTCATTACAAACCATTGGCCAAGTATGACACTAATAAAATCTGGTCAACCAAAAACTGAGACCATAGGAAAATCCTTTTATTTTATTTTTTTAAGATTTATATTATGTATTATGTATACAGTATTCTGCCTGCATTATGCCTTTACTCCAGAAGAGGGCACCAGATCTCATTAGAGATGGTTGTGAGCCATCTGTGGTTCTGGGAACTGAACTCAGGACCTCCGGAAGAACTGTCAGTGCTCTTAACCTTTGAGCCATCTCTCCAGCCTCTAGAAAATCCCTTCAAAGAAAGAAACTCCAAATGTTTTTTGCTTCAATTGATTACAGCCCATAAGTGACACAAGGGGACATAAAACATCACTTTCTGGGGATATTTGTAGCTAATGTTTACTAAGCTGAAATCCTTAGAGAGCCTCATTTCAGCTTTGGTTTAACAAAATAATTGAAACTTTAAAACCATTTGTTGCATTTGGGTTGGAGTGGTCTATAGCTTTATAGCAATAGTAATATAATATGAACATAGACTACTTTGCTCCCATTAAATACAGTATTATTACCAGGAGAGAGCATTAAGGCTTATAAACAGTGTATTGGAATTTGACTAAAGCCTTATTAGCCACAGGAAGATGGCTCTAGTACATCTTCCTGTCTAGTTTATACAGGGATGGAACCATTCTCTTGAGACCTCTATGATAAAACAAACCATCCTAGGATGGAAAGGTTGTGGGCCCAATGCAAGAGAGTCTTCTTTTTTTCCTTTCCTTCTCTTTCCATTCTTCCTTTTGCTTTTTAAAAACAGTTAGTGTGTGTGTGTGGGTCTGTTGTGGGTGCTTGTGTGTGCCACAGCATGTGCGTGGCAGTCAGAGGACAGCTTGTTCTCTCCTTCCAGCACACATATTTCAGGGATCAAACTCGGATCATCACACCTAGAGGCAGGCACGCACCTTTGGGGAGCCATCTCACTGATCCCTGAGGTTCTCCTTTTGAGACAGGGTTTCCTATATAGGAAAGCCAGCCTTGAATTTGTAGCAGTACTTTCAACTCAGTCTCCTAAATGCTGAGAATACAGGTGTGAGCCTACACAATGAGCTATTTTTTTTAATTTTCATTTTGAAGTAAATTGTATCAATTTTAGGACATTAGACTTTGTGATGAACCTTCTAACTAGGAATAGTAATATCCCATGTGACAGTTACCACAAACTCTTAGTAGGAAGTCCCTCTTTAAGATACTCAGACATATATTTGTCTGTCATTTTCTGTTCAAATCCTACTCCGTAAATCAAAACCAGATTGAACATTCTGATGACATTAATGACGACTTGAACTGTTGGTTTCAGCTCAAACAAAGCCTAGTCTGTGTCCTCATGTGGCACATACCAGGGCTAGGGCATATGGCTAGTGAAACTGAGTAAAATATTCCTTTATTAAATAATTTGTCTAGAGATTTAAGGGATGAGTCAGAGAACAGCAGTTGTGACAGAAAAGTAGGTAAGTGGCATGGAAAGGGGGTACTTAACCCAAATAACCCAGAAAAGGAATCCAGGTTTAGTCACCTAGTCAAAATTTCTACTCTGGAGATATCCAGATGGCTCACTGGATAAAGATGCTTGCTGCCAAGCCTGATGACCTGAGTTCAAGCCCTGGGACCCACATGGTGAAAGAAGAGAAATAACTTCCACAAGTGTTAATCTGACCTCCATCTGCATACACCTGTGCGTACACACACACACACACACACACACACACACACACACACACATAAATGGCATATGTATGCATTTGTGTAAATGTGGACATTTGTATATATTTAAAAATTGAAGGGCGTGTATAGTCTACCTTCAAAATAAACCCCTCTCCATTCTGGGTTTGTAACAAGAATATAAAAATTGTGGAGTCATCTATCTATCCATCCATACATCTATTTAATGATTGATTGATTGACTGATTAATTTACTCATTTGTGGCAGGGTCTCACCATATAGCTCAGGCTGGCCTTGAACTCATGATCCTCTTGCCTGAGCCTTCCAAGTGATAATATTATAAGCCTTCCATCTCTCTACTTTTCAGTAACACATTATTCTCTGAGCAATTATATATTAATAAAGCATCTTATCACTGCAAGTTGTCAAGGTGTGACGACCAAATAATGGAGAGGTTAAGTAACTTCAAGGTCATATAAGTGATAAGAGGAAGACAGTCATTTATATCCAAACTGCTCATTCCATACAGTACTTTGAGGAATTCTTTGGAGAAGCTATGAATCTGAGTGCCTATAGATTCCTTTCCCCAGTTAAATTAAGAATATTTACTTCTTACTAGTTTATTTCATGTGTTTCCTAAATATGACTTCAGGAAATTCCTCTTTTCTCTTTTTCATAAAATCATCAAGTTAGTCTCCCCACAAAAGAGGTTCCCTTGCTCCATCCACCTCACAATTTAGGGGCTGCTTGGATGCTTGCTTCTTGTACATTTCTGGTTCTTCCCTTAGGCTCATGCTATCTTTTGTAGTTCCTATTAGGAGACTTTCGAGTTTTGTGGTATAGGTCTTGGAATATTTTTAAACTTTTTTTCTCTAGTACTTGGTATATACATTGAGTGCTCTTTTATTCCCAAATGTAGAATCACTTATCATTTCAAAGAAGGTAATACCAGTGTTGACATAAAACATCCAAAAAGCTGGGGAATGTCTGAATGTGGTCCTAGAAAAAAAAAACAGTCAGCAAACACACACCAGTTTTGTGAGTCAAATTGCTAGAAGAGTGAACCTGCCCAAAAAAGAGGCCAGATAACCTCAATTATAGTCAGATTTTCAGAGACTTTCTTTACTTTTAGTGTATTGGTGTTTTTGGCTTTATGTATATCTGTGTGAGGGTGTCAGATTCCTCTGGAACTGGAGTTATAGACAGCTGTAAGCTGCCATGTGGATGCTGGGAATTGAACTCAGATCCTCTGGAAGAGCAGTTAGTGCTCTTATTTGTCTGAGCCATCTCTCCAGTCCCCATTTTGTTCATTTCTAAATAGGATTATCTTTGTGACTCTGACTTGATCATTTATAATTCTCTTTTTGAGGAGAAAGATCCATGGTTTTAATTAATTAGTTAATTAAGTGTGTGTGTGTGTGTGTGTGTGTGTGTGTGTGTGTGTGCATGTGTGCTGGGATGAATGTGTGAAGCAATGAGGACAACTTGCAGGAGTTGGTTTTCTCCTTCTGCCATGTGGGTCCCAAGTCAAATTCAGATCATCAAGTTTGATGGCAAGTGCCTTTACTGGATAAGCCACCTCCCCAGCCCCTCACAGGAGTTTGTTTTAGTCCCTCAAAATCATGTCTTCATTGTGTGATGATCCAGTTAGGAAGCTTGGGAAACATTTCTTGTGTTCAGAAATGGGCAAGGATTTGTTTTGGGTCAGTTGGTCCTGAGGAAGTTGTGAGACCTGAGTATGAGGCAAGAAGCTATTTCAGTCTTGCCTTCCAGTGTGTGCTCACTTCTAATGACCTTCCCATGCTTCAAAACAGGAAAGCTCTCTGCTGAGAGGGCCTTAGCCTCCCTTCTCATCTCCGCAGCACTGCTTCTCTTGCCATTTGAAACCATTTCCTCATGAGCCCTTTGGCTTCAGCTAAGCCTGAAGTCTATGGTGCATTATCAGTTCCTACTTCTGCTCAGAAATTGAACTCAGTGTAGTTTAATCTAAAACCTTGAAGGTTCCCAGCCATATTTCCCAGTGTGCAGTGCTGGGTTTAGTTCCTCTACTTTACTCACAGACTTGTCCCTTTCCTGTCCACTTGGTGAATTGCCAAGTTGAAGCTCAAAAGTCTCAGCCTATGAAAAATGCAAACCGCCCTGCTTATGTGCTTTATTCAGTACCTGAAAGTACATGGTGTTTCCCTCAAGCCATTAAAAGTGACTCATTATAACTGAGCCCATTTAATCAAAGGATCTCTGCAATTCTCCGGGGGTGGGAGGAGTTAATGGTACAGGCTACCTTGATGCTCAGAGAGCCATTTCTGCTTTTTCTTTACTTCCCCCTCTCTTCTCAGCTTTTCCCTTTATTCTCCCTTTTCTCTCTTCCTCATTTTTCTTCCTTCTGTCTGCTCATCTATTTCCATCCCCTCCCACCTTTTGGGACACAACTTCTCTAACTAGTCATGACCACTAGGCAGTGCCAGGGGACCTTTTGGAGTAAAAGGTTCACAGACCTCCTGAAGAGAGGTGCGCATACATTCATACATATTAAAGAATGTGGACAGGCGTGGAGCAGGTGAGGGGGTGGGTAGAGAGATATCTGTGTTCATGCAGGGTGGCTCCCTCCTTAGCACCATTTGAGCACAGCATGTACCCTCTTAAGTACATTCGGCTTGGAGGCAGCTCAGGAAGCCAGAGCGGACTAGGCCAGCAGTGGGCTGGCTACTTAGATATTCCCTGCGCTTTTTGGTGTGCAGAGATCCAAAGCATTAGTAAAGTTCAACTCTCAAGCAGGAACCAAGATGCACCAAACCAGCTCTCTAGCTGCAACAAAGCCAAGTATTTCTCAAGGTGCTTGCCTGTTGCTAGGAAACTATCCACTGATAATGTGGGCCCTTTCCCTCTCCAACCCCCAAGGGTATGTGGACTGCAGCCAGTTAGCTCCCTAGCTCTGCCTTCAAATTTATCCTTCGAATTTCCAATTCTGACCTCAGAGGGGAATGCGAATCGCCTCTTCTCTGCTACCCAGCCTCTAATACTTACCAAACATGAAATGGACAGGTGAAAACCCAGAGGCTGCTGCTCCACCTCCTCTATTATCAAAGTGTAAAACTGCCACCCACAGCAACTGCTACCCACCCACAGCACCCTTTGAATGGCTCTCCGGACACAATTGGCTTCAGCTCTACTGCAGGGGCTTGTCCCACCCCTCCGTGGCCGTGAACACCTGAAAGTACCCTATGCCTGTTGCCATCCCTAGAGTGGGGTGTAGAAGGACAGAGTGCCACATGCATGTCCAGGCACAGAGATCCTTGGCCCTGTGGGTTTCCTTTTCTCTCTGGTTAAGAGAAACATTTTTCATAGAAGAAAGCAACAAGAGAGGAGAAGGGAAAGAAAAGGAGGGTATTTAGTTACTTGTCAGTGTGACAAAATAGAAGAAAGTGGTTATGTTTTTATTTGATTGTTTTTTGTTTGCGTTTTTTAAATTATTTTTTAAGACATGCAGTCTTGACTGGGCTGACCTTTCACTCACAGACATCCGCCTGTCTGTGCCTCTATCTCCTGAGATTAAAGGCATGTGTCACCCACACCCAGCCTATGAAGGGGTTATTTTAACTCACATTCGAGGGTGCAGTTCATCATGGTGAGGGTGGGATAGTGACAGGAGGGACACCATAGTCACCCTACTTAAGTGAACAAGTTTGCTCAATGATCTAGCAATGTGTGTTTTTCCCCCAGAACACACCTGTTGTTATTAGACAACACACAACTGGGGTGTTATAATAAAGGATATCTCCTTGGAGAGAGGGGCCACTTTAGACTTAGGAAGACATCTTGCTTTTCTCGGGCCCACTCTCTCGAGTTGTATCACCCTTAAAGGTTCCCTAAATTCTGTAAGTCAGTCATTCTTAAGCTTGGAAAATTGACAGGTGGAGAGGGAAGAGGCTGGCTACTCTCCTAACATGATGTGATGCAGATATTGCAGTGTCTCATACCTAGAAATCTAGACAATGCCTTCCCAGGAGTATGCTGGTCTAGCATGGAAATGAGGCTCTGCCAATTAGTCTCATGCTCTGGAAGCCTCATGCCAAGGCTGGCCCGAGATTGCTACAAGCACGGAAAAAATGATGTGATCCACTCAAACTCTGGCTAAAAGATGTGACCCTCCTCCACCCCACCGCCTTGTTGAATTAGCACTTGAGCTCTTGAGAAAATTTAGTGTCAGTGGCTCTAAAAAATGTATCAGATCCTCATGGAGCCCAGATACATTAGAATAGCCACAGTCTCCTATTCTGTGTGCTGACCAGCTTTGTTCTTTCTGAGACCCTGAATTTGTTTCCTAACTCAGTGTCCTTGTAGCTCCCTCCATATGTCTGACCTCATCTTAGCACTGCTATAATATGACTGTAGACTCCGAAAATGGATTTTATTTTTAAAAGGCATGCCAAGGTCACCTAATATATTCTTTTGAAGTAACAGTCAGTCATTCAAGATTTATTGAGCATTTATTATTTCCTAAGCACTGTTCTGAGCTCTGAGGTATAGAACAGTGAAAAGAAAAGAAAAAGACCAACTTGCACTGAGCAGAAAAACGATTAGGGTTATGGGTGTCCATAGGCCAGGGAAGAAAGAGGCAAGTGATTATTATGGCAATTCACTGGTTATTTTAATATATTTTAAAATACTGTTTTTACTATGTGTTGAGGATCGTTTTCTTACTTAGCTAATGCTCATTCATCTCACCACATATCAAATCTCAATTAAAAACAAAACAATGGGTACAAACAGATTCATTAACTGTGTGGAGATTATTGCTCAGTGACAGGCTGACTTCAGATTGAGCCCATGGTGACAGGACTGCACACTGGAGCTGTTGACAGCTAGCTGTGCCATGCCCTCCTCCCTTCAGAAGTCAGTTCCCTTAAGAGCAAATTACTTGGAAAGACACAGGATATAATACCCTTATCTAAGCCACCTCACGTTTTCACTTGGAAATTTCAGAAATATTAGGTCAGCATATAAGGCATTGGGTACTATTCCATTTTCAAACACAGTGCGTTTTAGCTCTTTTCCTCCCCCACTCAGTTCCTCAACCCTGCTATCTCTGATGTCCCCTCTATCTTCCCCATGTCTTTTCGTTTCCATGTTCTATGTGTCTGCTTCATACCCACCCTTCCTTGTCACCTGTTTTTAATCTTCTCTTGGTCTCCTATTTTTCAGGCTTTACCCACACTTTACCCCACCACCCATTCTTTACAGGATAGTATCCACATAAGAGAGAATATGAGGTTTTTGTCTTTCTGAGTTTGGGATACCTTGCTTAATATTCTACTTTTCATATCTTGCTAGGTTAATTTTTAAAATCCACATCTGCTCCTTTCCCAAAGTTAAACAACAAAAAAAGGAAAAGTGAACCCCCAGTCTCTCTGTACACTGGCATATTGCTCCGCATTCTTATCATTGGGTTTCTCACCCGAATGCCTTTGTTAATCATTGTTTTCCGATCGATTGTGAGTTTGTGGGGAATAAAAGGAATGGTAGGTAGTTCATATGAACGGGATTCGGGCTGAGAGCCACACAAGCCAACTGATTTGTCTAACCTTAGTTTTAGTCTATGACCTGGGCCTGAGCCCTAGACATCCCAATGATATATTCCCATAGAAAAGTTTTTCTTCAACCTCATCCAACATTTTTAAGAGTTTATTTTTATTTTATTTGCATTGGTGTTTTGCCTGCATGTAGGCCTATGTGAGGGTGTGAGATCTTGGAGTTATAGACAGTTGTTAGCTGCCATGTGGGTGCTGGGAATTGAACCCAGGTCTTCTGGAAGCAGTCAGTGCTCCTTAGCCATCTCTCCAATATTTTTATGCCCAGACTTTTTGGAAGACTAGTTGTGATGCTCTGAGTATAGGTTAGGAGAGCGGTAAGGAAAATGGAGTGATACCTTCAAGAGGCCACACAGCAGAATCAGACCTCTAGATGTAGAGGTCAAGGAGAGAGGAGGATCCCCAGAACTTTCCGCATGAAGTTTGCAGCCTAAGGGACTTGATGAGGAGCTATCACGTCCCTCACTGATACTGTAAGATTTAAGAGCTAATTTTCTAAACAGAAACAGATTTGGCCTATATTCATTTTAAATAGTAATGTATGTTGAAGGAGTTGCAAACTCATGGACTAAGCTGTTGTGTTTTTTTCTTTTTCCTCATTACACAGCATTCCAGTGTCTTTCCACCCTCTCCTCCCTCTGGACTCTCTGATGAACAAGAGCCTCAGTCTGCCTCTCCTTCGCCCAGCTACACGTGGTCCTCCAGCGCCCCGCCCCGCTATTCTCCACCCTACTACCCGCCCTTTGAAAAGCCACCGCCTTACAGTCCTTAAAGAGGAGCACCTATCAGCTATTGAGATTATTGTGGCTTTTGTATTTCTGCTTTAGTGGAAGTGTGTAGGGTAAAACATCTCCAGTGTGACTCTTATGCATAAAGTTTTACAACAGCTTGCCAGGCTAGGGCAGGATAGGGATGAAGCTTATTCATTATCAGGAAAGGGTGGGATTGGCTAGGCCAAACCCAGTACTTCCAAGAAGGGAAGACTTTCTAATACAGAAAGTTCTGGCTAAGAGTTTTGTTTGCTCATGTCTGGATATGAAAAAAGCTGCCCGTATCTTACTCTGTTCTTCTCTGAGTCTTGTAAAAATGGCTGTTGTGATCATTCAGCTCAGCTTTTGTTACTGGTACCTCCTAAGGGGAAGAGTGCAATAGTCCCCCATCTTGAGTGGGGGGAGAACAGGACTGGCTGATTCAGAAAGCACCAAAATGCAGAGCAAACATGTGCTGTTTTCAGTAGATCTCAGTAGACATCTGACAACTTAGGAGACAGTGTTTCTATTCTATGTTGCAGTATTACAAAACACATTTGCTACTGGAGATATAAATCTTACAGTTGAATTTCAGAGTTTAAAAATGCTAGATTAGATTGGGTCGTGATATGAATTGTTACTTATCTTTGTGACTATTTAATCTTCAGATATTGTGCTTTACCCCCAGCAAACCGCACGATTCTGCACCCCACCCTTGAAAACTTCATCTGTATTTTAATGCCACTGCTCTTATTGGTCCCTTTTTCCCCCTGTTGAGATCAATTGTGACAGCATTCAAGATTATGAACGTTATAATGCCATTTCAAGTCTTCAAGACCTCAAATGTAGCCAACTTGACAAATTCGTAAGTGTTACGCATTTAAAATCCATCTGGCACATTGTGGTAGTTATATAGTTGTTTTAATTATACAGAGCTTTAAACCATCAAGCTGTTGAGTTAAAAACACTTTGGTACCCATGCCTTCACATCAGCATGAACACATTCACTGGGATTTTCCTTTAACCCGAGAACTGATTTAAAGGAAGACTGCTAACCCTACACTTGTGTTATGTAAAAGTACAGGAGCTACAGAGGCTGCTTAATGAGACAGTTCTGCAAACACAGAACACACACTGGAAACATTTCCAGCCCATTTCCGCTGCCTCCCATCCCTGACGATTAGAGGTAGCAGACAAATGCTGGTGCTCCCATCTACCTTGTAGACACCTGGTCATCAAAAGTCAAGGCACAAAAGGTGCACTCGCTGTTCTCAGTAAAGATTTGCAAAATATTCAGTTTAACTTTCAGCATCATATTGTCCTATCCAGACTTCAAATCCAAAAGACCACAACCCTTTAATGTGATACAAAATTAAGGCTATTTTTACAGTTCTCAACATAATAAAATTCTATTGGATTTCAAAAAAGGAACTAATAATCAATTGACTTATTATACAAATATCACCTTGTAATATCTAACAGTATTTTTGTCATTTACCCTTTACCCCTTGCTTTAGTGAATGTGTATATTTTTAAAGGCACCATTTCAAAGTATATCTTCAATGACCACATTTCTTAAACTATTAAGATTCTATGACTCATTTCTATGTATTTTTCTTACTTTACAAAATAACTTGAAACAGTATAGATTTTGTAACACTTAATTTGAGCAGCTTTTTTTTTATTACATTGAATTATATCAAGTGCATGTTACTTTAGGAGAAATTAATATTTGCTGCTTCACTATTCTGCAAACATTTGCTGTAATGAAGGAAATTTGTATTTCCAATGTATCTTGACTGCATTTTATAACATTTACTGCTTTCTTCCTAATTCTGCTTTAAAGTATTGAACTGGGCATGAAATATTAAAATATTAATTCAGAACCTGTATAAACTAGATGTTGCTTAAAATCTGTATCACTGCCATGTTGGAAACCCAGACGGCTTTTGTGATGTTTCAAATTAATAAAACTAATCCTCCTCCCTTACAGGCAGTCTCATGCTATGTACACAAAATACCATGGGTATTCTAAAACGACCGACTATGATGGTTCAGAGAAAAAAAAATGAGGCATGCTTAACCAATCCAAAAGACCTAAAGACAATTTCTGCCATGCTGTCATTAGAAATACAGCTTCTCTCCTGCTATGGAAAAACAACAAACAGAAAAACAATAGGATAGAAAGCCTATGTGATTCATTCACAATAATCTTGTAAAAAATGCACTCAAAAATTAGAATGAATATGCTTTATTTCACCATCAGAAACTCTATAACTAATATCAAGTATGGTTAATGAAAAGCAGAACTTAAGTCATGATAAGGAAGATTGTACAAATATGAACATTGCAGTATTTGGGGGAATGAACAAGGTTTCATATGACTAACAGAGGTAAGGAGGCCAGTGCTGTTGAAGAATTTGCATTTAATTCCTCAGAATACACATACCATGCTAACACTGTTAAATGCCTAGATCAGTGTTCATTTATTTTCCTTTTAGTCCAATAGAAAAAATTCTTCAGTGACTCTGTAGAGGATAGTGACCACCAATGATAACAACATCTCAGTTAATCTTGCAAAACTATCGACTTTCAAAGTGTTTGCTGTTCTTTGAAGACATATACTATTTCAAATAGATTCTACCCAGAATAGCTACAGGTAAATCAGCATTTGAATAAAATTAAAGCCAACTTGAAAGAAAAATAGGAAATTCAGTAGTCAGAAAGCTAAGTAAAAAAAAAAAAAATAGAAAATCTTCACAGTAGGTCTTAAATGGCATCTTGCCACAAATTTCCAAACCAATAATGGTTAGGTGTAAAGAGTTTTTGTTCAAAGGAGTATTCCACAAAAAACTCTGAACTCTGAGCTGGGCAGTGGTGGCACATGACTTTAATCCCAGCACTAGGGGGTCAGAAGCAGGTGGACCCCACAAAACTCTGAACTTTGGATATGAAAACTTACTAACAACAACAACAACAAAAAAAAAACCCTGACCAAAGACCCCAAAACACACCTTAAGAGTCTTCCTGGCAAAATTACAATTTAACTTTCTAGTTCTCCTCCCTGCAAACTCCAGAACCTATGTTCAGTAAGTAGAAAGTTTGTAAGTTCTTCTTCAAAATTTACAGAGTACAGCAGCAATGGCAAATAATTTTACCAATGTTATTCAGAATGGAGAGTCTTTCATTATTCCCAGTTTGTTACAATAGGCTTGTAGGGAGCAAGTTTTATCATAGCAAACTAAGTTACATAGAAGAAGTTCAGACTGCAACATCATTATTGCTGCCATGTAGAAGTAACTCTAACTGCTGAAACTGTATTCATGAAACTCAAATTTCAACTGGGAACATTTCTGAGCATACCCTATACTAAAAAAGCTGTAACATCAATATCTACAGAGAAAGGAAACAGATACTGTGATCATGGAGATCAGTCTAGAGTTATAAGGTGATTTTCAGTTTTCTAAGAGTAAGTTTATCAAAATGGTTTGAAGGCCTAAGTTTACCAAACAGAAAACATTAATGTACAGTGCACTACTTGGTAAGCAGGGGCTATCCTTTTTCTTTGTATTATTGCAATTACTGTTTCTTTTTACTCTCAGCTACCAACTTAAGAAACACTTAACTTTTATCTTTACACCTAGTTTGCTACCAGAAGAATGGCCTATGCATGAAAAATTATGATTAAAGCTTTAAGTTCAAAGCCAAGAAATAGATAAAAAAGACACTTTAAGGAGAATGAAAATACCTATGCTGAACTAAGAAATATGTAAGTCACAAATGACTATTAACTATATTAACTACGCAATGCAACCATTTTCAGTATCTTTTTTTCCACTGCAAAAAAATTAGGTTAAATTTTTACAGATTTGTGTTAAATCTGTTATGAATGCTAAGCTATGTATCTGTTCCAACCTGCTTCCTTTTATTACTACTCTTGGGTAACTTTTAAATTCCTCTAAGTGTTTATATATGTGTGTGCCATCTTAAAGGGAAGAAAGGTGATATTGTTGTCAAAATAAACAGGAACTAACATGCCTGCAGCATTCCACAAACAGTTTCTGCTATAATATAACAGCAGTTTGCACATACATTGGAACTTATTTTAAGGGGTCAAAAAAACCCTAAAACACCTTCTTGAAAGGACATGTTAGATTGCCATTACAACTACTTAAAATGAAAACTTCCTACTGGAGATTCTAATGTGAGCTTTTAAAAATGTATGCCAGTAGCCTCCCACCCAAAATACATGAGTGTCATCTATGGAATCTCAACATTTACCAGTACAATAAAAGATGCATTTGGTGGCTTTCAGATAGTAAATTTACATTTCATGGGAACACTTTTAACCATAATTTTCAAAAATCTCCACATAAAAAGCAGAAGATTAAAGATAAGCACAAAAGAACTTTGCATTACCTCCTGTTGCATTACCTCCTGTTTTCACTACAAGCATGCCTGCTAGGTCATTTTTTGTTTTTTTGCTCAAAACGACTCTTGTCGTTTTGAAGGTATACAGGGGCAGCTGGGTGGGGTGACACAGGCCTTTAATCCCAGCACTGGGGAGGCAGAGGCAAGCAGATCTCTGTGAGTTCGAGGCCAGCCTGGTCTACTGAGACAGTTCCAAGATATAGCCTCCAAAGCTATACAGAGAAACCTGGTCTCAAAAAAAACCAAAAAAAGGGGGGGTATACAGTGGCCTTGTCCTCAAAAATCTCTTACAGACTATGGCAATGAAAGCAATGGTTAATCCCACTTAGCTAGAACTAACTCATCCTTCATAGGAGATACGTGTTTGCATGGCTATTTTATACTGGGAGGGAGGCAGGAGGCTGATCTCCATTTGGACCGACAGAACAAACCACCAAGTTAGGACTTACTCTGAAATTCACTAGAACAAGTTTTGGAAGTTCACTAACTTTTATGCTGTATACAAGACATTACACACTTAGGCTTAACATTAAGAAAATTGAAAATTCAGCAGTAAAGTGCTAATATGGAAGGGGGAACAGTATAAGCTGTACTAGGGTATATTAGTAATTCTCAAAGAACATTTAGACTGCTTCAAATTCTATTCAGAAAACTATCTCTCTGTACCTTTAAAAAGTTACATCTTTTAAATGAGCTGAAAGCTAGACTATACAGATACTTCAGGGGGTGTTCAATCTCTACTCCAACTTTTAGAAAAAAATGTTTCTAAAAATTAACAATGCAACTAAACTACTTTCAGATGACATGGGAGATCAAATGAACAAGTTTCCACCTTAATTTGCTTCACACGTCTTCTGAAATCCCTGCCCCTTAATCCAACTCAAACTTTGATATTTCAAAGGAGGTCAGTAAGATTCTGGTATTATAAATTCAAACTCAGTACTGCCATCTGTTACATTCTGTTTAAACATGGAATCATTTTCCTGCTGAATAAAAATCTCTTCCCAGTTCATTGCCTTGTTTTGAGGAGTAGATGTGGTCCCTACTGGAGGCTCTTTTCCAGCACCAACCTTATACCCAATTGCATCATCCTTCATGACAGGCACAGCACTCGATCGATCAGAAAGATACGCATACTGTCTGATCTGCAAAGACTTGCATGGATGCAAACGATAAAGCTTTGAGTCCCCAGAAGGATCTTGACTGTGAACTGACTTTATGTGTGAAGACATAAACTGATAGTTGATGAAAGATTTGCCACATGCTAAACACTGATACCTTCGCTCCCCCGTGTGTTGAATTTCATGCTTTGTGCGATACTCTGCAAGAGGAAATACCTTATCACAGTAACGGCAGGCATACTTCTTCTCCCAAGAATGAATGTTAAAATGTCTTCGCAAGCTGGTCAGACAGACATATGACCTTTTGCATACAATACAGATATAATAGACCCTTCCATCTACTATTAACTCATAGTGATCATCATGTTTTACTTTCATGCGCTTGTTTGATGGCTCACTGCCAGATGTTTTTGGTAGCTCATTCTCAAGTTTGGCCTCCCCTTCATCAGGGTCATCTTTGACAGGGATCACTATGTCATAAGTATCTTCACCTATATTTGCATAAACCTTGCAACCAGTTGATAAGCCTTCAATTTCAGTAGCTGTATCTAAAGTAATGATTTTCTGCCCCTCCGTGAGATATTTTGGTCCTAAGCCTGGAACCTTCGTGTTTCTAGTAATGATATCTGAAATTTTCAAAGACTTGGAAGGTTGCTCTTGAACAAGTACAGGAGTGTGCACCTTCTGTGTCAACGATCCATCAAAAGTGGTACTTTTGGAGGTACCCGTCTGTGGGACCAAAGATGTATTACTGACTGCTGAGTCTGGACTGGAGCTAATGGTGTCATCATCATCATCTATAATGTCTTCCTCTTCTTCCTCATTGGCCTTGTTTCCTGTTAAAACAGCATTGTTTGGTGTCTGCTGATTCTGCACAAGTAAATTAATCGGTGTCGGCTGATTCTGTACAAGCAAATTGATGGAAGAGGACATGTGATTTGGAAGTGAAGAGCTGACACTTGGTGCTGTGGTAAGTGGAGCCTGATTTAATAAAATAATGTTAGGAGTCAGATGTGTTGAAGCTGAAGACACCAGCAATTCTTCACTTCGTTGTGGTTGGCTAAGAGTTGCCTGATTTACAGGAGTGGGAAGTGTCTGAGCAGGTGTGATGTCTGTTAAAGGGGGGGAGTTATTGCTAGCACAAGGTGTCACTTCTGAAATAGCAACAGGGGCTGGGGTAGGCTGGACCTGCGTCACTGTGTTGTTACTTGGCAAATTCTCCTTTTCAGGCAAAATCTCAGAGCAGAAAATGACATCATCATCATCATCCGAGTCAGTAACAATGATCTTTTTCATTTCATAATCTTCAGCAGATAATGAAAAAGACTCTGTTATAATGGGCATGACAGTAGCCCCGGTATCTTGCACTTCATCCTTTGATTTTTGGATGGCAAGGTTTTTGTCACTACAATCAGGAGGTAAGGTCTCAGCAGTACCATCTTGTTCTGTACCTGATATAGTTTTAACCTGTGACAGCGGGACACCAAGCTCTGCGATAAATTTCACTCCTAGTAACTGTCCTGACTTAATCAACTCGTCAAGTAAATCTGCTCTAACACGGACAATTTTAGAACTATAGATATAATTCAAAATTTCTGCAAAAATCTCTGCTCTTATAAAGCTCAGTTCAACAACTTGCCCAGCAACGGAGAAGAGTTGATGGAAATATGTACTCGAAGCCGAAAGAATGTTCCTATGGGCCCGGAATTTTCGGTCTTCCACGATAACAGTAACATCACAAAAGAGTCCATGGCCACGCTGCTCATTCAAGGAGTTCAGCAGACTTCCAGAGTATTGAATGTCTGTAGCAGAAATTAGTTTTCTGCTCTCCATGGCTGTAAGGGAAAGGGAGAAGGGGATTAGGGGTGATTAGAGAGGAAAAAAAACCCGAAAGTACTTGATTATTTAGAGTTTAAGGCACAAAAGTGTTAAAAAGTTTATTTAACTTTGAATCAAAGTTTGGTCTATCATCTTGACTTTTAGATATGTTCCTTGTGTACACTAGCTTTGGACCATGTGTCAAATCTCATGACTTTCTCTGAGAAAAGTCAAGACAGTTTTCAACTGCTATGCAGATCTGAACAATAAGGTCACCTTGGTCACCTTCCTTTGAAATTCAGGAAAACCTATTTTCACTAATTACCCTTTTAAAATTAGAATTCACCTTTTTAGCCCCAATTTTATTTTTTCCTCAAAAGATAAGAATTAATTTTTAATTTTAGGGAAAAATCATCATAAAGCATACAGATTACTTCTTCTGAAAATGAATGATTTAAATGCCAGAACAGTTTAGGATGTTTAATATTAAGTCTGAAATTTACAGTAGCTTTAATTTCAGCTAATCTTATTAGTAAGATCATATTCAAAAGTTAACCCTTACAGCCAAGGACAATAACCAATACTGGCAACAATTATCTCACAATTTCCCATTCTTTTTCTTTACCTACACCTTGCCCTTATATGCCCACCCCTTACACTTTCCAGAGGTGCAGTGTTAAACAGAGCACCAAGTGAAGACAGAAAGCATTCCATTACTTAGTGCTTACTTACATTAAAAACTGGGAACATCATACATATTTTGTTGGTAAGAAATTATGTGCATTAGTGTAAGAACTTATTTCTCTTCAAACGAGTTAGTAAAAAGGAGAACAGTAACTTATGGGAACATAGGCAGTATTACTATGCAGAAGGTAGTAAGTGTCTCTGTTGTGTGACACTTCTAACACTTTCTTCTTGCATTTCAACAGAAGATATCATGGTAACCGTGTGGCCAGAGTGCAAAAAAGCCATATGCATATATTAAAACATTTATAAGCACAAAACTCATGCTATATGTGAATATCATGCATTAACCATTACTTGCTAAGTACTATTGGTAAAGAATTATTTTGCCATCAAAATGTTTTCCTTTTTAAGTTACTGAAGAAGATCACTGTCATAGTACTTATAACACACACACACACCCTGCAGAGTATCTCTGTATTTTTAAAAATTTCCAACATCATAACTTAAAAATAAACTATAGGCAAAAGCCTAAAAGTCAAGGGTTTTTAAAAGCATGTTGGTTGTTCCATTTTAACAGAACCAAGGAATTACAGGCTATTGTAAAGGCATTCATCACAAAGTGTGACCTTTGAACAATGTACCAGCAACCCCAAAATATGACGATTTCAACAGAAACCACCTTTAAATGGAGAAGTTTCTGAATATGGCCACATGCTTTTTATCGTTTGCAAATATTTTTCCAATGCCAGAATGTTTCAAACGCAGGTGTCCAGGTGACACAGGGACTTGGCTTCATTTTGTTTAGGTAGCCATCCTGCTTGTCAGGGCTGGCCCAGGATCAACCCAAGTTCGTCTCAAACCTTTCCTCCCCCAGAGAGTTTCGATCTGACTCTGGAAAAGATATCCTACACCATTGTGTGACAATCTTTGCCTGTGGTCTGGTTCAGAGGGCTGGTGAAAGTGGGGAAAAGATAAAGCCACCCCCCACAGTGAATCAAACCAACACAGGGTTCCCGGCAGCAGCTGGACACTATCTTCCACCACCTCCTACCTCCTTTGAACTCAGATGCAATCGAGTTTTAAAGGCCAATTTACATGCAAAGGCTAGCTTCTTGCTAATAGAGATGGAGGAGCAAATAGAGCAAAGGCGGGAGGATGGGTGGTGGGGGATGCTGGAGAAAGTAGAAGGCCCAGATCTGAAAGGCAAGGTGTT